AGAAAAAAGCCCTTTGCTTAAGCCATGCGGCAGCCTAGAAAAAAGCCACATGGCATAAGTAATTAATAATTAGCTATTTGTTATTGTTTTCGAATTTAAATATCTATAAGATAATACAATAAAATATTTCTTTAATAAAAAAAATTAAAAAAACTATCCATTCAAATTGGAGAGTAGTTTCAAGTTGGAGTTTTTAAATTATTTAAAATAAAAAAAATTACAAAAAATAAAAAATTGCCAATTCAAAATTTCTTTGTTTTTTAATTATTTTTGTTCTTATTTTAAAAATAAAAAGATAGTTTATTCAGAAAATATTATTGCGAGTAATAGAATAAAATATAAAATATAAAAATAACTCAAGAGTAATAAAATATATCTTTTATTATATTACAAAAAAAATAGCAGACAAAAATATAAAAAAATAATATGCTAATAAAAATTTCTATATTAACAATGCAATTATATTAAATATTGGATAATATAATAAAGAAAAATACATAACAAAAAGGTTATTCGATGACTAAATAAGTCCCTTTAATTTAATAAAAAATTTATTCATTCAAATTCAGATAATATTATTGACAACAGAATAAAATTTAAAATAAAAATATTTGAAGATCAATGAAAGATATATCATTTGTTATAGTACAAAAAGAAAGCGAGCAAACAAAAATATTATTGAAAGTAATATGCTAATAAAATTTTCTATTAAAAAAGTAAAAATACTAAACATTGGATAATAGAATAAAGAAAAATATAGAACAAAATAGTTATCCAATGACTATATAAGTCCCTTTAATTTAATCGAGATTCTATTATTGGGTATATAATATTAACAAATAAGATGACAATTGAAATTTATTAAAGCAATACGATCTAATATGTTCAAACAAGCCCGAATAACAATTTAATTTAATTAATATTTTTTTGATATTGGCCGCGCCTCGCGCAGGTACGATTACTAATTATATATTAATACTAGGAAATATGGTTTGTAGCATTACATAGGTCCATACGGACATTGTTAAGCTGACTATTACAGTACCTAGACATGTCCCTCGGGATATTTTGATCACCTAGAGATGCAAGCCTAATGCAAAATCCTTGCTAAGATATTTAACTAGATGAACTATTCCTTCATAATCCGAGTTTAACATAGTGGTTATGTGACGACCCAAAGGGTCATCACCTGTTTCCTCATTCATTCTGTGCTTCCGAGGCCTTGAAAACCTCATTTTTACTTGCCTCGATTTGCGTGCGCAGTCCGGGCGCGTAGCCGGAAAGCTTTTATGTTGAAATATGTGAATTCTGTGAAAAATTTGAAGAATTTTGATATTAATATGTTTAAGGTTGACTTCGGTCAACATTTTTGGTAAACGGACCCGGACTCGAGATTGAACGGTCCCGGAAGGTCCGTAGAAAAATATGGGACTCGGGCATGTGCCCGGAGTCGAATTCCGAGGTCTAGAGCCCGAGAAATGAATTTTTCTGTGAAATTATTTTTCTGAAATTATTAAGGAAAATGAAAATGAAAATTTATTAAAAGACTGTGGTATCGGGCTCGTATTTTGGTTCCGACGCCCGGTACAAGTCTTAAATATGTGTTAAGCGCTTTCTGTAAAGTTTGGTCGAAATCGGACGTCGTTCGACGTGTTTCGGACCTAAATATCTAAAGTTTGAAGTTTATGAAGTTTGAAAGGAAAATGATGATTTTGAGGCTTGATCCAATGATTTTGAGGTTATTTTGGGCGATTTGATCGCTCGAGTAAGTTCGTAGGACGTTACTGAGTTAGTGTGTGTGATTGGTTAGGAGCCCCGAGGGCTCGGGAGTGAATTGGAGGTGGTTCGGGGTGTTTTTGGCCTTAGAGTTGTTGCAGAAGTTCTGCTTCTGGTGTTCAGAGAATTTGTTCTCTGCGATCGCGATTCTATTCCTGCGATCGCATAGAGTCTTCTCCAGGCATTTTCAAATTTCTTCAACGCGATCGCATAAGTTGTCCCGCGATTGCATAGTCTGACCAGTCTCTTCAATGCGATCGCACTCACCTCTACGCGATCGCACAACTTTACACTTCACCCAAAAGTCCTGGCTTCCCTTCTTCTATGCGAACGCACGAATTGTTCTGCGATAGCGGAAGCCAAGCTTCCACTCCTCTATGCGATCGCATCAATTGCCCCGCGATCGCATAGACCAAAAACGCCCAGTTATTTTAAAGCCTAAAAACAGAACCAGTGATGGGATTCCTTCATTCTTTTCACACGAGCTCTCCTCTTAAACCCTCCATAGACGAAATTCAAGCTCTCCTTCCTCCATAACTCTTTGGGTAAGTAATCTTAACATCATTCCCTCATTATTTCTTCATCTAATTACTAATTTCCTAGCCCTAAATCATGAAATCAAAGTAGAAATTATGGGTTTTGGGTAGAGTTAGGGTTTTGAGAATTTTGGGTGATTCAACCTCAATTTGGGGTCGAATCTTAAAACAAATTATATATTTGCACTCGTGGGGTTATGGGTGATCGGGTTTTGGTCCGAGCCTAGAGTTTGGACCATGTGGGCCCGGTGTCTAATTTTGGTATTTTTGGAAGAATGCTAGAAAATTCATATCTAGGCTATGGATGTTGCCCTTGAGTCTTTATTGATACTATTGAATTAATCATGCCTAGATATCACTGTTTCGGAGTCGGATTGTAGAGGAAAGGCGGTTTTTGAAGGTTGATTGCTATTCTTGGGACCGAGGTAAGTGTTTGGTCTAACTTTGGCTTGAGGGAATAGGAGTAGAGTCTTTTTGTTGCTAATTGCTATTTGTCGAGTACGGTGTATAGGCATGGTGACGAGTATCTATACACTGGTGTCGAGCATGACCGTGAGTCCTAATTTGCTATATTATCGAATTCTTAATTGTTGTTTATGAGGACTTGGTTGGAAATCTTTAACACTGAGCCAGTAATTGTTGAGACTGAGTATTCATTTAATTGTGTTAAGTAGAAATTGAATAATTTCGGTTATAGCTGGATCTCCCTTGCCGGGATAGTTTATTATAACATCTTTTCTCCCTTG